ACAGCCCAGGACGTTGTTACGTGGGCCTATGCCGAGCCGCCACGTCACGGAGTGCCCGCAAGTTGCCATGGAAACTGCCGCGCGGCGCACGTTTTTGTCGCTCACGTGTTCCCTGCTTTACAATGCCGTTGGCGTCAGTGCAGGTTTTTTTTTAGTCAGCTTGCCCTGCTCTGGTATTTCTTTATATTTCCCCTTGTAGTTTTTCTTCTTTTTTTTTTCGGGGGGATGAAAATAAAAGGGGGGGGGGGGGCGACGTTGCTAAATACGATTGAAAGTCGTTCTTTGTATTTTGGTGTTTCTTTTCGTTTTATCGAGGAGATATCCACGATTTTGGAAAATATCGTCTGCGCATGCGCAGCCCAACGCAGACGCTCGGTCGAAAGTTGTCAGTAAGAAAACTTGTGATTGCATGGAAATAAGCCACTGCCTCCCAAAGGGCAGTTAGATCCTGCTTTGTATACTCCGTTTCACCTTACGTCTGACTGCAGCGGACGCTCGAGCCATCTCGGCCAATCCTGTTCTGTGAACGGAACACGTGATACGCTTTTGCCTATCACTGCGCCCCTCTCCAAGGTCACGCAACACTCCCTTGGATTGGCTCCGGTGGCTCGTAGCATCCGCTGCGGTCGGTCCTAAGGTGCAACGGAGTATAGACGCAGTGGCCTGTAAGTGAACGGAGTATAACTTGGGTATTCGGTGAGGGCGACTAAGAAATAATAAAACATTTCAACCTGCAAATAGTAAAGAAAATAAAGGGGTGACAAAACGAGAATGGGTGACGGTTACGCTCACACCTTAATTGTATTCTGTTGGCGAGGCGATGGCAAAACAATGCCCATACTGAAAGTCACGATATTTCAAGATGGCGACGCCCTTGTGAAATAAGTCTTTTGGCGGCGTGCATGAACTGCAGCGGGTGCTTCTCTGGCTATCATCATCATCGTTTGTGACGTCACGTAAAGGACAGATTGGGACAGACCGCGCAAGTCATGGATCTCTGGGCTCGTGAGCTCTCTTCATGCCCGCTGTTGTCTGCAGTAGCGAAACAGCACCTAAATTCCCACTGGCTGCGACGTGTCATATGGCTCCATAGCAATGGCGTCATTGTTGCTAAAGAGCCAGCCGAACTGCTGGCGGCGCAGCGGGAGGGAGGGACGCGGGTATGCGCTGGCCTGAAGTTGGGCCTAACGTTAGCCTATCGTTACGCTTTGAGGTCTAACGTCGTCAACCGGTACGCACAGCTGTTTGACGTAAGAGGGGGGCGGGGGCGGGTATGCGCTGGTTTGACATTAGGCCTAACGTTACGCTTTGAGTTCTAACGTCGTCAACCGGTACCCGCAGCTAGGGCGATGATGATAATGAGAGGACACGTGATTTCAGCACGCGCCGCGCCAAGCTTCTCACTCCCGCCGCCGCCTCACCCAGAAGCGCAACAGTCACCAGCGAGCTGCAGCGAGCCAGGGCGGTCTGCGCGGCGCACCGCCGCACTCCCTGCCGGCGCTGGCCGCTTCAGCTCTTCTCGGCGCCGAGCAACACCTACTAGACGAGAAGGCCGTAGCGCTCCGAGTGGTTACGTCACAATGTCGGAGAAGGAAGGCTATGGCGCAACTACGTGAGAAAATATCTGGTATCGACGTGAAAAAAAATGTTACTTGTCGAGCGGCGCGGTAGTGTTCGTGCGCGTTTATTTGACATTAATATGCGTTTTAAAAGCGCAGTCTTGTACAATTTATTGTACATATAATATAAACGTAATATACAACGCGTTACCAAGTTTGAAAGTGCCAAATTTATATTTATGATTATCCCCGTATCGCGGGACTACGTACAGTCTCGCAGCTCCCCACACTTTTCGAATGAATCGGGTCCGGGGCGACATTTTCTTCCCTCATACGGGCTGCGATTCTGGTAAATTTACGTCGTGTGTGAGCTGCTGACTGCCTGAAAAGGAACGCTGAGACATTTAAGAAGGGAAAGGGAACCGAAACAAATCCAGTCATCGCCGCAGGGAGCGCACACGAGCAAGAGATGGTTCAACAGCGTTAAGCCTTACGTCCTACACTGCATGCTGCCGCTACCCTCTTGTGTGGTTATTTTGATACTTTTCTTCCCGTCGTTTTTCTGTCCTCACCGCAGTCTCGGGTAATTTTTTTTTTTTTTTTTTTTTTGTGTTCGTTTGAAACTAGGGCATTTACGTGGATTCGCGGAACAAGTCCTGCTACGGTTTGAGTGACATGTGTGGCAGCTAGTCAACGATGACACTGGTCGATTATCGATAGACCTCTCTCTCCACAGAGAGACTTCTTGGAGTTCGTGTTCAAACGTTTTCGTGACGGATATTGCGGGGCGTACGGATACGATCGACAGGTGAGAAACAACTTATTGGCGGGCTTTCTTGACCATGTAGGACGCGAGCAAAGTGCTGCGGTCGTTTTTTTTTTTTTTTTTTTTTTTTTGAATCTTGTGATAGAATGGAATCTTGTTCTTCATCGTTATCCGTGTGCAGTTGCGTCGACATTTGTAATTATCCGTGGTAATATTGGGTGATTCCACGTCAGTTCGCGCAGTCATGGTCCGGGTCATATTTTTTATATTTTCGTTAAAAATATATACGAAAGCAATATTCCTGGGAGGAACATTCATTTATATACGAACGCCGTAACAATCTTTTTTGACGGAGATTTAAAATAGAGAAGCTCGAGGGCGTGGAAATTGAGATGTTTTCACGATGCTACTTTGCACACTCGTCATTTTCTTATCGAAGTTTTTACGTCACCGTAACTTTTTCGATAAATTTTACAGAAGATATACACATACACAAAAAATTAAAATATATATGAAATATTTCTTTGCAAACAAAATGACCAAACATGGCATAAAAACGCGTTTTAGAGAGATATTCACAATTTTTTTTGCAAATAAACCGTTGTAGTGGACCGCGTTCACGCTTGCGTGGGTGTGCGACGCGAAGAGCATGGACAAAGAGACGACATCTTTGGGCCAATACGAAAATATATTAAAGCGTTAAACACTAGAGAATGAGAAAATTAAAAAAAAAGATTATCGGAAAATCTAGCACTTAAAGGGTAATTAAAGAGGAGTACTTCACATAGTCCGTGAAGCGGGTCTGAGTTCTGATCATGGTTGGCACGCCGAAGTCTTGATGCCAGGTAGATTGGCGCGTTGGGGCTGGGTAGTGGACGACGGGGTGGCTTGAAGAGTGTGGCCTGAAGTAGCGGCAGGGCAGCCTCGGAGGCCCGCTGACCAGGCCTGTGTTTGTGGACGACGAACTGAAGCCGTGCCGACCACGCCTATCGTTGCGGGTCGGTTTTTTCGTCCACCAGATCCTGCTCGCTTGTCCTGTTCGGTCACCTCCAGGCTTCCTTCTACTTCTTCTTTTTCCACCACCCGCCACTCGCACCAAATTTTCTCCGTGCACACAAACACACAGTCAACCAGCCACATCAGCATTCCTTTTCGTCGTCGTCCTCTTTTTTCTTCTACATTGAAGTCCGAAATCACCACAATTACCCCTCACTTAAGAGCGTTGTTTCGGTCAAACAATGTCTACAACATGACAAAAAAAAAAAATAAAACTTGTCCACAAACTATATTACAGTTTACACATTTGACACTTGGTTCGTTCAAACTTTTGGTTTCTGCCACACACAAACATATGCAAAGTAATTGATTCAACAACCCTGTCATACGCACGTTACACTCATAAGAAAAAAAACTGTTTTGACTATTGTACACAATGCATCACTACAAAGAATAATAATAAAGTTTAAATTCTTATTTAACAGACATGCGACTCATATAATCGGCGCCCACATTTTCACAGCCCTTGATATATTCGACTGTAAAGTCGTACTCCATGAGCGTCAAGCTCCAACACGGCTGTTGAGGTGCTTTGCAGAGTTTATGTACAATAAAGGCTGATGGTCGCTTTGCAGAATGAATGGTTTCCCGTACAAGTACACATGAAATTTTTTTAACTGCCCATATCAGTGCCAGGCCTTCTCGCTCTATCGTTGAATAGCCGGCTTCACGAGGTAGCAGTTTACGACTCGCGTAAGCTACAGGATGGAGTATTCCATTATGCCGCTGCATGAGAACCGCCCCCACGCTTGTGGATGACGCATCCGTACTAAGCACGAAAGATTCAGAAAAGTCTGGTGCCCTTAGGATGGGTCGGCTGGACAGTAGTTCTTTCAGTTTCTCAAAAGCGTGTTGTTCCTTTCTCCCCCAAGTCACTTTGTTCGGGGCCCTTTTCCGTGTCAACTCCGTTAGCGGTTGTGAAATTTCAGAGTATTGCGGAACGAAATCTCTGTAGTAGCCTGTCAGGCCAAGAAACGAGCGGACGCCCTTTTTTGTCTCGGGTGGCTCGGCAACTTGAATCTTTTTTGCGTCTCGATTTGCGGTCGCAGGAGGTTATGTCCAATGACGTGACCGAGGAACTTGACTGATGCAAAGCCGACTTCGCTCTTCGTTGGCCGTATCGTCAAACCAGCATCTCTCACCCGCTGAAAGAATGACTTGAGTGTTTCCAGGTGCTCTTCCCAGTTTTCTGTGGCGATGAGGACGTCGTCAAAATAGTGGTAGATGTTTGGCAGGCCTTGGACCACCTTCCTCATGAGCCGGGTAAACACCGCCGGTGCAGTCTTGATCCCAAAAAGCATAAATCGAAACTGGAAAAGTCCCGAAGCCGTAGGGAAAGCTGTCATTTGCTTTGACCCTTCGTGCATCGGCACCTGCCAGTAACCTTTCGAAAAGTCGAACTTTGAGAAGTATCGGCTGCTTCCCAACTTAGCGAACATCATGTCCACCCTTGGGATGGGTTCATTGTCGGGGACGAGGACCTTGTTCAATTGCCTGAAATCAATGCAGAGCCGCATTGATTCATCCTTTTTCTTTACCATCACTATGGGAGATTGGTACGGCGATTCGGAGGGTTCAATTATTCCCCGCTGTAACATTTCTTGGACTTCCTCCTGCACCGCTTCTTGGATAGCGAACGGTATCGGGTATTGTTGTACTCGAATAGGAATGTCGGTGGTGGTCTTCAGTTTGCACTCCACCAGGCAGGTCTTTCCTGGGACATCTGTGAAGCTTTCCTTGTGCGCAGCCAAGAGGATAGACACCTGCGCTTGTTGAGAGGCTGTTAGGTCGTTCGAGACTTTCACATCCTGGTGAGTTTCCTTCTTGTGGAGTGTCACAGAAGGTATGTCCTCTTCCTCCACTTCCTCGTGCTGGACCGCGACTGAGGCATGCTGCGGTGGTTGGTTAGAAACCGGTCTCTCTTCGTACTTTTTCAGCATGTTAATATGGAATAGACTACTTCTTGTTCCCAGATCAATGACGTAGTCGATGTCATTTCTTCTCTCCAAAACCTTGAAGGGGCCCTTCCAGGTCAGGATCAGCTTGTTGTTCTCGGAGGGGAGAAGAAGTAGAACCTTGTCTCCAACAGCTAGATGGCGCACTCTCGTCTTCTTGTCGTACAACTTCTTCTGTACTATCTTCGCCTTTCTGAGCTGCTCCTGTGCTATCCGGCAAGTGTCTTCTAAGCGCTGGCGGAGCTCGACCATGTAGCCGTACGAGGTCTTCGTGTTTTCGTCAAGGTGCTCTCCTGTCCAGATTTCCTTTAATATGGCCATCGGTCCTCGGACGTACCTGCCATACAGGAGATCAAATGGTGCAAACCCAACACTGGCCTGCGGCACTTCGCGATACGCGAATAGTAGTGGTGCCAAGTATCGGTCCCATCTTTTCGGGCTCTCTTGACACATTCGTCGTATCATTTGTTTTAGTGTGCCATTAAACCGTTCCACGAGGCCGTTGGCCATGGGATGATACGGCGTGGTTGGCATCTGCTTAAACGAGAGGAGACGACTAAACTCCTTCATGAGTCCGGATGTGAATGATTTGCCCCGATCGCTGATGATTTCTCTAGGAAATCCCACGCGTGAAAACATCTCGAGGAGAGCTTCCGCAATCCTCTCCGTCTCGATGCTTGGTAGGGCAACTGCATCAGGATAGCGGGTCGAGTAGTCCACCATGGTTAGTACGTAACGGTTGCCCTTCTCTGAGGTTGGTGACAGTGGTCCCACGATGTCAATTGCTACCCGTTGAAAAGGCGTCTCGATCACGGGCATGTTCTTTAAAGGCACGCGGCCTACCAAGTGTTTTGGAACGGTTCTTTGGCAGATGTCGCATGATTTCACAAACCACGTGACATCCCCTTGTACCCCTGGCCAGTAAAACTCTTCAAGCACTCGATCTGTCGTTCTTTTGATTCCTTGATGTCCAGATAGTATTCCTTCGTGTGCCATTTTTAGAACGAATGTTCGGAGGCCTGTTGGGACAACGAGTTGTTCCATTTCTTTTTGCGATGGAAGTCTGTACCGTCGAAAAAGAATCCCGTTCATCAGCACGAAGTCGATGTCGGCTGATCTTGAGGCAACCTTGCTTCCCACTGCTTCAAAGCATTTTTGGAGTGTAGCATCTTGCTTTTGCTTGGCGCTTAGCTCCGCCGGGTTGATGTCCAGTGGATTTATTTCTGCAACTGGTAGCCCAGCAGTTGTCGCCGACGTCCGCATCGTTACGACACTAGCCTGAAGCTCGCCTTTCTGCTCTCCGGAGCTCGGTGACAAGGTCGTCCCTGTCCAAATTCGTTGGTTGCCCAAGATTTCGTCTTTTTCTTGGGGCTTTTCTTGCAGAGGAAGAAATTTCTGGTCTGCTGTCCACTTGACATCAGGAGCAGAAGCATCCCGTACGCCATCGATGTTGCCCAAGACGACATCATACAGCGGTCTTTCCATGCAGGTTGCCCTTACTGTGCCCGTGAAATAAGGAGAGTCGATGTCCACTTCCGCTTCAGGTAGGCATCGAACTGTCCGGTCGAGAAGGTAGATCGATCGACTCCTTCCTGTCAGTTTGTCATCAGGAACCAGAGATCGCTTTACGATGACCGAGTTGCATCCTGAATCACGCAGTACAATGACAGGGTGTCGTTCAAGCAGTCCTTCAGCCGTTGGCATGCCATCTGTTTGAACATCGATTCCTCTTTCATCCTCCTCAGCTTTCACATTTCTTTTAAGGGAATGACTGTCCAAACCAACTTTCCCAGGCTCATTCTGAGGCGCCAGGGAACACGATGCTTGTCCACCCGCGTCTGTCTTGTTAGGGCAAGACTCTGCTTTATGCCCGGTTTTGCGACATTTCCAGCAAACAGTCAACTTTGGGTTGGATCCTCTTGACTTGGACCAACAGTCTGCTGCACGATGACCTTGCTTGTTGCAAAGAAAACAGGCGGGTCTCCCCGTTGCATCTGGAGGCTTAGAAATCTTTGCTTTCCCCAATAGCTGCGCCTCTTGGTCCTTATTTGTTCTGCCAAGATGGACTAGTCCTTGAGCCTCAAGATAATGATCGGCAGCTTCCGCCAACTTGTCAAGTCCTTGGCAGCCTCTTTCCCTTAAAAAGATGGTCAGTTTTTCGTGACATCTCTTGAGAAACTGTTCTGACACTATTTTGTCCCGGAGTGCGTCGTAGGTACGCTCCGTTTTGGCCATTTCTTGCCAATGGTCAAAATATCCCAACAGACGACCAGTAAACTGTCTGCCTGTTTCTGCCTCCTCTGGTCTTGCCTCTCTGAACTTGGCGCGGTACCCTTCTTCCGTATACCGAAATCGTTGGAGAAGAGTCTGCTTAAGCACTGTGTAGTTTGTAGCAGCGTCAGCAGCCATGCGTCCGACTACACTTAATGCCTCCCCTGTCAAGCATAGACTCAGGGACAAGGCCCATTTATCCTGTGGCCACTCTTGGCACGTTGCCACCCGCTCGAATCGTTGGATGTAGGCGTCAAGCTCGTCGCGTTTCTCATTGAAAACGGGGATAAGCTTGTGTGGGCTCCGGTACCCCTGTACAAAGCCAGCAGGTGTACCCGCACCAGACTCGTTCGGAATTCCCTCTACTGCACTTTCTCGTCGCTCCTGTAAACGTAATTGGAGCTCCAGTACCGCACGTTCTGCTTCTAGGCGCGCACGAGTATGGTCATCCGCGTCTAAGCGAGCTCGAGCAAGGGCTTCTGCTTCTTTAGTAGCTTCGCGTTCTGCTGTACGCTGGTCCCTCTCGCGCACTCGCTCTTCATCCATCCATTGTTTCAAAGCTGCCCCAGACAACCCCAACTCCTGGCCAACCTTCATTAATTTCTCGGTATCCATTCTCAGCCGTCGCACCGTTTCGCAAGGTGAAGCTCTTTAGGGTGTCAGTTAAGAGCAAGGTCCTGTCGCGGACGCCAGATATGTAGTGGACCGCGTTCACGCTTGCGTGGGTGTGCGACGCGAAGAGCATGGACAAAGAGACGACATCTTTGGGCCAATACGAAAATATATTAAAGCGTTAAACACTAGAGAATGAGAAAATTAAAAAAAAATTATCGGAAAATCTAGCACTTAAAGGGTAATTAAAGAGGAGTACTTCACATAGTCCGTGAAGCGGGTCTGAGTTCTGATCATGGTTGGCACGCCGAAGTCTTGATGCCAGGTAGATTGGCGCGTTGGGGCTGGGTAGTGGACGACGGGGTGGCTTGAAGAGTGTGGCCTGAAGTAGCGGCAGGGCAGCCTCGGAGGCCCGCTGACCAGGCCTGTGTTTGTGGACGACGAACTGAAGCCGTGCCGACCACGCCTATCGTTGCGGGTCGGTTTTTTCGTCCACCAGATCCTGCTCGCTTGTCCTGTTCGGTCACCTCCAGGCTTCCTTCTACTTCTTCTTTTTCCACCACCCGCCACTCGCACCAAATTTTCTCCGTGCACACAAACACACAGTCAACCAGCCACATCAGCATTCCTTTTCGTCGTCGTCCTCTTTTTTCTTCTACATTGAAGTCCGAAATCACCACAACCGTCTTTCATAATACTTCACAAAACTTATCAAAGACGCGTCTTTGCATATTATTTACGGATATATAAAGATAATATGCCCACCCTTAATTGTCTTTTTGTTATTGACGCGGAAATGCAGCTGATTTCTCAAAACGTGGCAAGATTTGGCGTCAATATTGAAAAAAAAAAAAAAAAAAAAAACTCCACCTTTAATTTTCTTTAAACTCCCCTTGGTACTTTGCAGTGACTTGAACTAACTTGTGATGGCTAAACATTGAGTAAGGCATGACCTCCAAACGGGAAGAGCTATGACAAACCTTCATTCGGAGCGAGCCGACGTCTTTGTCATAGCGGCTTTGCCGCACAGCACCAAAAATTTTGAGCGTCAGTTATGTCATGTATTTTATATTTTTTAAATCTTTTTTGTTCTTCAAAAGGGGTGAGTATAACTGGCGCGAAAGGGGACTTTGAGCTGGGATACCATTAATTAGTTTACAATTCACTAAAACACAACGGCCCCTATCTTCACTAAAACACAACGGCCTCAAATTCGCTAACTATGCATACATAAGCTTAAAAGTTTCAGTCGCGCATGTGGCCATGTATTCATCCGGCGTCTCGGCATTTGATGACTTTCGCAGATAAGATGCCTGGATTCCTCTCCCAGGTTTTACGGTGGTACACACTGCTTGCTTCACCGCATGAAACTCTCGAACCCGTTCCGCAGACAGATGGAACATGCAGACATTTGTTACTTTTTCACATAGCACTTCCACAAAGTCTTTAGCGGTGAGAATCGTTGAGTTGAGCGATCTCAAGTTTGTTAGCGTTGCGTGGTGTTTAGCCATTTCCTCCATCACAAGGGCTTTTTCCGTGCCCAGTGACTGAAAAGATCCATCTTCCCGAAGAGTACGGCTTCCGAGAAAGTTAATGCGCCCTCGCTCCGTCTGATACAAAAAACTATTTCAGAAAAGACTGGGTAATTTTCATCAACCTACTCTTCTATGACCCCTATGGCTAGAAGAACGTGAGCTGTGCCATCTGTCGTGTCATCGCTGACAACTGCCAAGCTTTGCGTGCCTTGCGTAGACGTAAGCACACATGTGAAGAGAGACACTTGAACTTTTTCTAATAAAAACTCTGCACTTCGGTTGGGAAGATTACTGTCCAATTTTCCGAAAAATCGAAGTAGAACATCACTGCCTTGGTTGGTAAGGTGTTTTTTTTGTCACGTATCAGTCTTTGTTGAAGGTCACGGATGTAAGAATGCCTCATTTACTTTTCGCTCCATGACTCCGATTCCCGCAGGAAGGCGGAAGTGTCCGTAACCTTTTTGACGAATTCGCCGGAGTCCCATAACGCGAAACAGATATATTCGTCTTCGTCGAGATGGAGCGACTGCAGCGAGATGCTCTGCGTTTTTGGGCACTTTTCGCAACGGCGCAGGAAGCAATCGTTTTGTGGAGCGCTGCAGAGGTAGATGCGCTTGGGGTCGTCTTCGGTAAATGTCTTCTTTGGGGCATTTGTTATTGCCGTTAAAAGTAACTGAAAGTTGACGCAATATATGCATGCGCACACCTCGTGCTCGGGACTTTTTTTTTTTTACCCATTTTGGTCGTAGGGAATAAAATTTGGAGATGCCTAGTTCTCGACGGGGATGGTCCTTCCTAGGCAGCTGGTAAGCTTCTTTAACAGAGCGGGTCATAAACCTTTTTACGACTTTGGTCTTGTCGTTATTGATCATGGCTTTGACGACGTCCTTTTTGTTGGGGCTTTGAACAGAGCATGCGAGGTCGTCGCGTGTGTAGTACTCAAGTGGAACCCTTACGTCTTCGGCATTCGTCTTTTTCCCCATGTAGGGATTAGGGGTTGCCCATACACTACCTATACGCTTCAGTTTTCTTGTTTGATCAATCATGTAGACAGTCGCTTCCGGCACCAGTTGCAATATTTCGTTCTTCGAGGTGCGTGGTGGGCAGAAGCGTGTACAATCGCTTACGTTCCTGATGTGAACTGCATGCCTTCAGCGCTTCGCTGAACACGTGAAACCACTCCGTGCAGTGATCCCAACTGTCTTCGTCGGTTTTCACGTCATAAATGCTTGACAGCTTTCTTCTAATCGAAGAACTTACTTTGGCTTCTTTTTTCGTCAAATACGCTTCGCGACTTTATTTTTTTTAATGGTTTTACGGGGTTTCATTGAGGTTGCCGACGGACTAGCAGCACACACGTCTTGACTCACTTCAGCCAGATTTTCATCAGAGTCCCGGCAAGAAGAGTTTGATGTACTCACGTTGTGAGGAGAAGCAATCTTATTCTTGAGGTATTTGTAACAATGCTGGCATAAAAGGTCAGATTCGTTCACTGTCCGTGGAGCCACTAGCTTTTCCAACCGCACTTTGTTGAGTGCGGTTGAAAAAGCCGGTTGAACACATGGCCACTTGAGCAACTGAGAGTTTTAAGCTGATGTATGCATAGTTAGCGAATTTGCAGTGGGGCCGTTTTGTTTTTGTTAATTGTAAGCTAAGTAATGGTATTCCACCTCAAAATCCCTTTTCAAGTCAGCTATACTCACCCCTTTTGAAAAAAAAAAAGAATTAAAAAATATAAAGTACATGCCATAACTAACGCTCAAAATGCTTGGTGCTGTGCGGCAAGGCCGCTATGACGAAGACGCCGGCTCGCTCCGAGTGAAGGTTTGTTGTAGCTTTTCCCATTCAGAGGTCATATGTTACGCAATGTTTTGCCATCACAGGTTAGTTAAAGCCACTGCAAAGTGCCAAGGGAAGTTTAAAAATAAATAAAAGATGGAGTTTTTTTAAATATCGACGCCGAATCTTACCACATTTTGAGAAATCAGTTGCATTTCCGCGTCAATAACTAAAAGACAATTCACGATGGGCATATTATCTTTATATATTCGTAAAGAATATTTAAAGACGCGCATTTTTATGTGTTTTGTGAATTATGAGGAAAGATGGTTTATTTGCGAAAGAATTGTGAATATGTCTCTAAAACGCGTTTTTATTCCATGTTTGATCATTTTGTTTTCAAAGAAATATTTCATACATATTTTTTTATTTTTTGTGTATGTGTTATATATTTTCTGTAAAATTATTTAAAAAAAGTTATGGTGACGTGAAAGCTTCGATGAGAAAATGACGACTGTGCAAAGTAGCATCGTAAAATCTTCTCAATTTCCACGCCTCGAGCTTTTCTAATTTATATCTTAGCGAAAGAAAAAAAAAATGTTACGGTGTTCATATATAGCGGAGTGTTTCTCCCAAAAACATGGATTTCATATATATGTTTAACAAAAATATCTAAATTATGACCACGACCATCATTGCATGATCTGATGTCAAATTACCATATTACAGTTTTCACTGGAAGGTGAATAATAAGTTTTTGTGATTATTGAAAGTGCTTTGTTTCTGCTTATGTGTTTATTTATACTAATGTTATTTTATTGCCTTTACCGCTTTTATACTAGAATCTTAACTGTATTAAGGTAATAGTATTATTGCATACAAAATAATATATTTTGTTCTAAGGCAGCACGAGCCCATAGGGAGTTGTAAATTAGTTGACTGTAAATAAGTTCAGTATCCTGCCACGCGGAAAAGTTAATATATTTGCATTAAATGATATGAGATTTAATCAGCTCGTGGTCTTGAGTGATTATACGAGCGTCACAAGCTGATTTGTCGACCCCATAATGTAATTCGACCAAAATTACATTAATTTGCCATGTGGCCGGGGTATAATACAAGAATTCAGTGACTGCACGCGATAACATTGCTTACATGATCCTAAGTGACACTTGTCTAGCCCTGTCTGCGTTGCCTACGTCTGCTTGATTTTTAACTGTGATCTCTTTTTTGCTGTGTCTAATCACTGCGTATCTCGCCATTTTGTTGAAGTATTTCTGCGTGAAATATGCATTCCTACAGAAATACTTGCGTGACTCAATGTTTTCGACTTCAAAACTAAATGTGGCGCATTTCGAACGCACCTGTATTAAGAACAGTAAGGGATTCATCGATGCGTCTGAGATGGTTTCGCCGTGCCCTCTGAAGCCATCGGAGCCGAGATCGGATATATGTCCCGTTGTAGATGGCGCTGTCGTCGAAGTAAAATCGCGATTGCTTCTACTACTTTGAAGAATGATTGAATTCGAGCTCCGAGCAATTTTGCTAATCGAATGACGTGAGAAAACATACAGAGCAACGTTAGACGTGGATATGTTTTGGAACGTCAGGTTACCAAACTTTTTGACTCCGTATTGAGATTGAAAAATAGCTGCGTCGGCTGTTGCTATGGCAACAGCCGACGCAGCTGTTGCCATAGCAACCCTCGCACTCGGTCGGACTCAACGCGAGTGTGTGAATCGCCCTTTAGGTGTCGCACGCTCCCAACTGC